TCCTTTTGAACAATCAATCTTTCCCGGTCGATAAGGTCCTTCCTGGCCTCAACGTGGTCTAGGGCTGCCGCTTCGGGATGTACTGATCAATACCAAGTGGCAGAAGACTTGACAAGTGCTCTTGTCCGGAAAAAAAAAAACGCCGAGCAAGTTGTTCAGAAGAGGAAACGCGAAAAGCAGCACAGTCAGGCTCACGCCAAGCGAGCAGCCAAGAAAGTTAACAGGATGCATGCTGCATAGGTGAATTCGTTACTACGAACTAACACTTGTTACAGCATCCAGTAGTCAATTTAGACCTCTCCCCTCACCTATAAACTAAAGCGGTTTTCCCCATTTTCTAATGAAAAACTGCCGCTCTTTCTAGAAGCAAAAAACACTAATCAATCGGGTGGATGATTAGTTGATTAGTGTTTTTAATCAAAAAAAAACTAATCAAAAAACTGAAAAAAAGCTAAAAACAATCGGGCAGTTTAGGAAGTTCTAAAAAAAAATGAATAATCAGTCGGGCGGTTTTGGAAGTACGGAAATAAAATAAGCTAAATTTTTCATTTGCGATGAAATGGGAGAATTTCGCCAAGTGCTTTCATTCAGTTACCGCACGTGAATTTTTTTTAATAGTATTCGCGCAATCTTAAACACAGGCGGATCCACCGCAAACTCCCGAGGACACGGTGAGGGGAGGAATAAGATGCGGCTTCTGGGGAAAGTGGGGAAGGGGACGAGGGGCAGGGGGACGCGCAGTGGAGAAGACAGTTTACTTTAGTTTTAGCTTTTAGTTTTAGCTTCAGACCCTTTAGTTTTAGCTTCAGACCCGAACTTTTGCATTATTGATGTTTGTGCCAAAAGATCCATCGCCTCCGCTCCTCACACCTCCCCTAGATCCGTATATGATCTTGAACGGTCAACGACAGAACATTCAGTGAAGTGGAAGAATCCGCTTGAATGACCATAAGGGATGGCCGATGTGATAGACTACATGCACCGATAGCGAGATGCACAACGATGAAACAAAAGCTGATCAAAATTTTTTATTTATATCAGTTTTTCATATTACGTGGAATTTTTTTTTTTACCATTTATTGAAATGCTGTTCTGAAATCCTTCATTTTCACGGTGACAACTGACAGTAGCCACTTTTCGCGTGGGTTTTAAATTCACTAAGTTAAAAAAAAATTACTTGATCATCGACTACGAGTGTTTGAAAATGCCGCGTTTTTCCAGGAGTACTCGATACTGATACTTTTTTC